GTGAATATAGAAGCTAGAAATGGGTTTTACAATGATTTTTTGTTAGTGAAACGTTACATTTCTAAAAAGTACTTTAATTAGTTATTCAGTCAATTGATTTACATCAACCAATCATACCTATGAACCCACGGGTCAACCCATGGTTAACCCATGGTCAACCCTGGGTCAACCCGCGGGTTGACCCGTGGGTTGGCTACCCGGGTTGCTACAACTCAACCCGGGTGACCCACCCACCCGCGGGTGACCCGGGTAAGACCCACCCGGGTCAAAACACTACAAGGGGCACAGCATCGGCTTCATAATACTAGCTGGTATAAAGATGTCAAAAAACTCGAGGATGTTGTTGATCGTGATCGAAAGAAAAGATGCCTTTGTCAGCTTAATGGAATTTATCTTATCGAAATATGGTATGATGAGAATCCAGAAGTTACTATTCCTAAGAAGATAAGTAAATATAGAGAGTGTATTAATCGGAAAATTTTTGGGCTCTCATAATCAATAACATTGGAAGACTATCATAGCGGAATCCCAATAGTAACTGTGAAGGCATAGATTATCATATGTTATATCATAGAATTAGAAAAATAACTTTATTGATAGATTCATTATACACGCAAATAAAATCTATGTGGCCAGCTAAAAATTTAAGCACATTATTCTGTCCCTTTGCACAGTAAAAAAATAAGTTATCATAGATATAATGTCATCAGAAATTATTTTATTAATTCAGTATTATATGTAATCCCCAAACGTGAGAAAAATCCGTTCTAGTATTTGGGTACCTTTTTAAAGAATAGATTCGCAAACGGTTGTTAGAAGTTGATACGAAACCAATAATAAACTCCGAGCAGTTAACAGGCGACACACAAAATATTAAGTAGCTTCGTTTATCCTCAGTTAAGCCAACGAGTCCAGCAAAAAACCAAAAAACCACATTCTTATAAATATAATTTAACAAGAAACTACATGTTTGTCCCTTAGTCAATACTGATTTAGACCTACCCCTTGAACGAACTGAATCGTTCTCAGACTAGGACGCACCACCCATGCCAACTTTGGGCATGACTCATAAATTGTGCGAGAACTTATTTCCCATGCCATACTGCTAACTGCATAAATTACACATACACACCTCTTATTTTCGTTCTTAATTCTTCATCTTAAAATTCTATAAATAAAACGAATAAAGACATTAGCTTGTATGAATTTATAATGAAAGAAAAAAAATACCAAATCAATGCTTACAACATCAAACATCACACTCGCAAATTGAATAAATTTACGAACTTGAACTTTTCTTTCTTCATTCTTGATTGTTTCCAAAAGCTTTGACATATACACATTTTCATCAAATGCTAATTTTAATATCTTTTTCCTATCATCCTTCTCGGTTTCTTCTAAATCTTCAAAAATATCAAGTATGAGCCCTATCATTTTCCCAAAATTGACATTGCCAATAACATCAATATTCTCTTGTTGTAATGGGGTAACATTTTCTTTATCTTTAAATATTCTTTTTTGTGGCGCATCAATATTCTCTTTATCATCAAGTACTTTATCCAGTTTCCTTTTTTGTGAGTCAACGTTCTCCTTATTACCAAAAACTGCATCCGGTTTTCTTTTTTGTGACGCGATATCAATCCATCTTTTTATTATTTCACTATCAACGTTTTCTTTTTTAGCAAGTGCTTCTTCATAATTTCCGCCTAGTGTCCAATAAAAAAAAAAAGTTTAATGCCCTTGTATAAAATCAAATTGTTATTTTCATAATCAACTTACCAAGACATATTATAACCTCGCATGCCAATATTGCGACATGTTGTAGTGCATGATCGCTCCAGCGACCTTTTTCGTCTACCACAATCCCATGTGCAACTTTGTTTCTCACGTTTTTTTTAAAATTGGTTAATAATTCTACAGGATTGGCCTTAAACTGACCATGGAATACAGCGTTTTTTAAGAATATTTTAATATTTTCTATCATAAAATTTAACATACACAGAAGATCGGCGTTACTGAAATCTGTGTTAACAGGGGGACGCTGTTTAGAGCAAAAATTTTCAACAACTTCTAGAGGAATGGTTGATTCGTTTTTAACGAGAAACTCATAAATAGCTTTTTCGACAAGGTTAACAAAGGGCTCTATGACTGCTCCTTGTTCATTTTCGGTGAAAGAAAATGATTGTAAAACCGACGGAGAAGAATCGCGAACGGTTCTATTATCTTTGTAATTATGGGTGATGGTTACATGTTGACCAACTGCAGATGAGTGAAGTCGCGTTTTTTTAAAAATTGCAAAAGGCTTTGACTGTCTTGACTGTTTTGGTTGAGTCGAAGAAGAAGAGGAAGATGACAATTTTTTATCTTCAAGCCAGCCGAATATCATGATATGCGCTGGAGAACTTTGACGGAAGACCTGATCACTATATAAAATATCGCGAAGTGAATCACATATGGACTCGCGGGACTTTTTCAACGGACAGACATCACATAGCGCGTTCAAAGTAGAGTCAAGTGTATCTTTAATGTTCTCTTTGACAACACCGGAACGTATCCACGTTGAAAGCTGTTTACTCATAATTAGAAAGGGCGTGTAAAGTGAAAAAAATAACTTGTTATTACTGTACTAGTGTTTTGACCTCGAGGTAGGAACGTCCCGAGTGCCCCGAGTTTGTAGATCGTTACACAATTTATTAATGATTTTTTTTTATACG